GGGATTCTCAAAAATCTCACACCCCGTGGAAAGCCTCCAACGACTTCCGATTCAAATTTGAACCTACAGAATAACCTGGACAAGTCTTTCCTTTTTCGTAACAATGCTCATGGGACAGAGCTATCTCCTCCCCCTAATGCGGCTGACACAGCACACTGTGATCGGGTCGCTTGTAAACTCTCCTTGAGCACCGCTGCGGGGACCCCTAGTCACGACACACTATGTCCTTCGGTGCCCACTCGCACAGGATGAGGCGTACACTACCTGCCTCGCTGTACGTTGCCACACCGGGGTCCAAAACCATCAATCCGGTCACTCCGCTCCACCCTTTCCAGCATCGACATATCCATCTGCTCCGCGTCGCCGTTCGCCGTCCCTACGCTCTCTCCATCATTGTCAGCCTCGCTTCCTCCACAATCCACTCCATATGAGACAGCCCCTACTACGCCACTGCGACGCACAGATGCGACTCGGCGGGCGCTCACGATGACGTTACTCGGAGATAGTTCCGCCAAATTCAAAAGCCAGCGTCTTAACAGCACCCTTGAGCACGACTGTGGCCAATTGAGTACCGACCCGGGACACACGTCCGGAGGCTCGACACAACATCCACAACCCCATCCTCACACTTGCATCGCATTGCATACCATACCATTCCGGCTACACCATTACGCGAAACAATCATCCATGCGAAAAGACAATAGAGTCCCCAACAAACGTCCCCAAACACGGACCACAATCGGCACTGACATCTGAGACTGAGAAAAGTCTTCCCGTTATAGCATTACTTCCATGTACAAAATCCAGGTCAGCTTACTGACTCTGGTCCACCATGTATGGACATCGAAAGCCTACAGATGCCACCCCCCTCAGTACTCTTCACCGTCGTCTTCGCCGCCGTCCTCAGCCGACTCCGCACCCACTTCCTCGTAATCCTTCTCCAGAGCCGCAAGATCCTCACGAGCCTCCGAAAACTCTCCCTCCTCCATACCTTCGCCCACATACCAGTGCACGAAAGCGCGCTTCGCGTACATCAGATCGAACTTATGGTCGATCCGGGAGAACACCTCTGCAACGCTCGTGCTGTTCGAAATCATGCACACCGCCCTCTGCACCTTCGCCAGATCTCCACCCGGCACCACCGTCGGTGGCTGGTAGTTGATGCCGCACTTGAATCCAGTGGGACACCAGTCAACAAACTGGATGGTCCTCTTCGTCTTAATCGTCGCCACCGCGGCATTCACGTCCTTCGGAACCACGTCTCCCCTGTACATCAGGCAGCACGCCATGTACTTGCCGTGACGAGGATCGCACTTCGCCATCATAGATGACGGCTCGAACGCAGAGTTCGTGATCTCCGCCACCGACAGCTGCTCGTGGTACGCCTTCTCCGCCGATATCACTGGTGCGTACGACGACAGCATGAAGTGAATCCTGGGGTATGGCACCAAGTTGGTCTGAAACTCCGTCACATCCACATTCAGCGCACCGTCGAACCGGAGTGACGCGGTCAAGGAGGAGATGACCTGAGACACCAGCCGGTTCAAGTTCGTGTAAGTTGGGCGCTCGATGTCCAAAGACCTCCGACAAATGTCGTATATCGCTTCATTATCCAGCAGCACAGCCACGTCGGTGTGCTCCAACAGCGAGTGCGTCGACAGCACACTGTTGTATGGCTCCACCACGGAGGTCGACACCTGTGGCGATGGATACACTGTGAACCCGAGCTTCGACTTCTTCCCGTAGTCCACGGACAGGCGCTCCAGCAGCAGACTTCCCAAACCAGATCCCGTTCCTCCTCCCACAGCGTTGAACACAAGGAAGCCCTGCAGACCCGTGCAGTTGTCCGCCAGCTTCCTAATCCGGTCAAGGCACAGGTCCACTATCTCCTTCCCGATAGTGTAGTGACCACGGGCGAAGTTGTTCGCCGCGTCCTCCTTCCCGCTGATCAGCTGCTCCGGGTGGAACAGCTGACGGTACGTTCCGGTGCGCACCTCATCGATCACAGTCGGCTCCAAATCGAGAAACACCGCACGAGGAACGTGCTTCCCGGCTCCTGTCTCCGAAAAGAAAGTGTTGAAGGCGTCGTCTCCTCCTCCCACCGACTTGTCACTTGGCATCTGTCCATCAGGCTGCACCAACCAAAACACACATCTCTCAGATCACCTCTAACACTGCGAGCTGCCACTGCAAAATCCCCAGACGCCTGCATCACCTCTACATCTGGTCGCAGCCCTCATTTCACTCGCACATAGCAAAAAAGAACCTCCCTGTGTATACAATCACTGCCCCAACCCTCGCAATAAAAACAACAAAAAACAAATCAACCTTCCTGTTCGGCACTCGAGCACATACCTGAATGCCATGCTCCAAACAGTACAGCTCCCAGCAGGCGTTTCCGACCTGGATACCGGCCTGACCGATGTGGATCGAAATGCACTCTCTCATTGTCGCTAATTTCTCGAACACGCGTCACAGAAAAAAATTTAAGAAAGGGCTACGACTCGGGAACCTGAGCGCACTCAATGCACAAACCAACTCAGCTATACACAGCACGGTGCAACGACGAGCGCAGAGACAAAAAAGCTTGAGAAAACTTCGAGGTAGGCGTGTACGAAGACGCCTCCAAGAAGTGAGATGAGACCAGCGCTGCGGCTATGCTATGCAATGCCCTACCCTCGAGTGGCAACCTTATGGTTCGAGAGAGACGATCCCTCATTGGCCGCACCGGCTGAACCGGTACCGGGATCCCCTCTCCCGGTGGATCCCGGCTGTCCCGTTGGGACCGCGGTGGTGGGTCATAACCGTTTTCCCGCTCAGGAGGACATTTTTAACTTGACAGACCAAGCGACGGCTCATCTTGTATCAGGCAGGCCAAGATAACTCCACGAACAGGCCGTCTTCCACGAACCAAATATCTCACCTCACCTCACTACTTCATGCCAACAACAGCAACTCCTTCGAGCTAGTTTGTTTACAGTCGCCGATCGATGTGTTGGTGCTGGCAGCCGCCTGCATTTCATTCCATCACAAAGGAGAAACAGTGGTTTCGGGTCATCATCACGTATTGGTTTCAAAATATTGCTCCCCTGAACTGAACTGTACATGTACTGTACTCCGCAGGCAGGCAGGCAGGCAGTCAACCTCGGCATGGGACTCTGCCCACAATTACCCAGCTTCACACCTATGAATCAAAATCCCCACAACACTGTCTTGTCTTGCCATGCACACATTTCTCTGTCTTCGGTGGAACATTATGCCTTTATTGTTGTTCATGCAGAAAATGGTTTTTTAACAGAAAATGTGCTTCTTAACTTTTCTTCTAGAGTAAGGGATTTGACACGTACCACATCAATTTGCATGTCTTCTACCTCTGAATGTGAATTCACACTACTTGCCGACATAGTTGAGGCATGACGAACCGTATGTTGTCTTGAACGTTGGTCTTGGCAACATTGAAATAAGCGGTTATCGCACTTCACAGCTTGGCTAATAGCTTCGTTGAGCATTTACGGATCAAGAAGAATTAATAGCAAATCCTTCACATCGTCCCTTAAATCCCAATAGAATTGACTCATCAACGCTTCTTCATCCCAATTGATGTCGCATGCTAATTGCCTGAAGTCCGATGCATAGACTGATGTAGACCGCATCCCTTATCGTAGTGATCGGATCTTTGTTGTAGCCCATCAAACCTTGTCGTGTTCACCAAATGCTTCCGCAAATGCATCACTCATATATGCTTCTGAAGACATATATGGGGAGGAAAGCTTAGACTCTCTCTTAGAATATAATAGGGCATATAATACAGTATAGAAGACTTATCTTTCCTAACACCTACTCTTGTTAAATCCGTTGAACACATCATCTCCTGAAGCTCCTTTGGAGCCTTACCAACTATGCCATTCTCTAAAGGATATAGTGGCTTAAATCACATTATCTTTTTATGACTTCTCTTTTCATCAAATACATCATGCATGTATTTGTAATAGTTAGATTGTGGTCTCTTAAGATGGTCTGTAGTATAACAGCAAGGAAGGAACTCGAACATATCTTTATTAGGTAATCTATTTCTTCTAAGTCTTGGAAATAGTCCTATGTCACAAGCATATACTCTTGAGTACGGACCATCCTTGGGATATCTCATAGTTGATCTTCCTTCAGACTTATACTTTTCCTCTTCTAGTTCTGTAATTATTATTGGTTTAATAGAGCACTCTCTTGCATATCCAGATACAAACAACTCTGGAACTTCTTCTTTTAAAGCAAATGTTCGTGTACGATGTTTAGATACCTTCTCTTCTTCAACTATGAAGTTGTATAACTTGTTAAACTCATCTTTTACTTCATCGTAGACACTAAGTAAGAATAGGATCTGGTTTATAATGTCATCTATATGTTCCTCGTGCTTAATATTTGATATTGTGATAGTCTTGCTTTCTCTTCTTTTGAATGTTATTATTCCAAGTTTAGCATACAAAGAATACTTGACTTTCATGGATATTGGAAGAGTTTTTCTCTTAATGAAAAGATCTCGCATAGTCTAGGCTCGTTCATTACAACATCACATAGTAGCTCCAAATCTGGCTTCTCTTTTGTTATGTTAGCAGATAACTCTATGTTTGTGACTTCAACATCTTGTTGTATATCAATACAGATCGTAGTACCAATCATGCTAACAAGTTCAGCAACAGATACAGCATATGATGATACATGTCTTATCTTCATTACACCTGAGCTAAAGTCAAAGTATGCTTTTATAGGTATCCTCTTATTATCGTCTTTAAGGGCTGAAATCATGAACGTAATAAGAAATGCATCTTTACCTTTTAATGCGTTGTCGACTTCCATTGCAGGATAGAAGTGCTTGTACCATTGATAGTCACCAACATGTCTTTCGACAAGAGGAACATCTTCAGACACACATATAGTATCAAAAAGTGTATTTCCATCTGTATCGCTAATGCGCCAGACTAAGGTTACCTCTTTTATCATATAAGAATCCATGTCTCTTGATAAGCATAAAAAAATAACACCAGTGTAAAAAGTACCTTTCTACATCAATATTTTTTATTTTTTTATATTACTATTCTGTAGTAAAAACCATTTTCTGCATGAACAACAATAAAGGCATAATGTTCCACCGAAGACAGAGAAATGTGTGCATGGCAAGACAAGACAGTGTTGTGGGGATTTTGATTCATAGGTGTGAAGCTGGGTAATTGTGGGCAGAGTCCCATGCCGAGGTTGACTGCCTGCCTGCCTGCCTGCGGAGTACAGTACATGTACAGTTCAGTTCAGGGGAGCAATATTTTGAAACCAATACGTGATGATGACCCGAAACCACTGTTTCTCCTTTGTGATGGAATGAAATGCAGGCGGCTGCCAGCACCAACACATCGATCGGCGACTGTAAACAAACTAGCTCGAAGGAGTTGCTGTTGTTGGCATGAAGTAGTGAGGTGAGGTGAGATATTTGGTTCGTGGAAGACGGCCTGTTCGTGGAGTTATCTTGGCCTGCCTGATACAAGATGAGCCGTCGCTTGGTCTGTCAAGTTAAAAATGTCCTCCTGAGCGGGAAAACGGTTATGACCCACCACCGCGGTCCCAACGGGACAGCCGGGATCCACCGGGAGAGGGGATCCCGGTACCGGTTCAGCCGGTGCGGCCAATGAGGGATCGTCTCTCTCGAACCATAAGGTTGCCACTCGAGGGTAGGGCATTGCATAGCATAGCCGCAGCGCTGGTCTCATCTCACTTCTTGGAGGCGTCTTCGTACACGCCTACCTCGAAGTTTTCTCAAGCTTTTTTGTCTCTGCGCTCGTCGTTGCACCGTGCTGTGTATAGCTGAGTTGGTTTGTGCATTGAGTGCGCTCAGGTTCCCGAGTCGTAGCCCTTTCTTAAATTTTTTTCTGTGACGCGTGTTCGAGAAATTAGCGACAATGAGAGAGTGCATTTCGATCCACATCGGTCAGGCCGGTATCCAGGTCGGAAACGCCTGCTGGGAGCTGTACTGTTTGGAGCATGGCATTCAGGTATGTGCTCGAGTGCCGAACAGGAAGGTTGATTTGTTTTTTGTTGTTTTTATTGCGAGGGTTGGGGCAGTGATTGTATACACAGGGAGGTTCTTTTTTGCTATGTGCGAGTGAAATGAGGGCTGCGACCAGATGTAGAGGTGATGCAGGCGTCTGGGGATTTTGCAGTGGCAGCTCGCAGTGTTAGAGGTGATCTGAGAGATGTGTGTTTTGGTTGGTGCAGCCTGATGGACAGATGCCAAGTGACAAGTCGGTGGGAGGAGGAGACGACGCCTTCAACACTTTCTTTTCGGAGACAGGAGCCGGGAAGCACGTTCCTCGTGCGGTGTTTCTCGATTTGGAGCCGACTGTGATCGATGAGGTGCGCACCGGAACGTACCGTCAGCTGTTCCACCCGGAGCAGCTGATCAGCGGGAAGGAGGACGCGGCGAACAACTTCGCCCGTGGTCACTACACTATCGGGAAGGAGATAGTGGACCTGTGCCTTGACCGGATTAGGAAGCTGGCGGACAACTGCACGGGTCTGCAGGGCTTCCTTGTGTTCAACGCTGTGGGAGGAGGAACGGGATCTGGTTTGGGAAGTCTGCTGCTGGAGCGCCTGTCCGTGGACTACGGGAAGAAGTCGAAGCTCGGGTTCACAGTGTATCCATCGCCACAGGTGTCGACCTCCGTGGTGGAGCCATACAACAGTGTGCTGTCGACGCACTCGCTGTTGGAGCACACCGACGTGGCTGTGCTGCTGGATAATGAAGCGATATACGACATTTGTCGGAGGTCTTTGGACATCGAGCGCCCAACTTACACGAACTTGAACCGGCTGGTGTCTCAGGTCATCTCCTCCTTGACCGCGTCACTCCGGTTCGACGGTGCGCTGAATGTGGATGTGACGGAGTTTCAGACCAACTTGGTGCCATACCCCAGGATTCACTTCATGCTGTCGTCGTACGCACCAGTGATATCGGCGGAGAAGGCGTACCACGAGCAGCTGTCGGTGGCGGAGATCACGAACTCTGCGTTCGAGCCGTCATCTATGATGGCGAAGTGCGATCCTCGTCACGGCAAGTACATGGCGTGCTGCCTGATGTACAGGGGAGACGTGGTTCCGAAGGACGTGAATGCCGCGGTGGCGACGATTAAGACGAAGAGGACCATCCAGTTTGTTGACTGGTGTCCCACTGGATTCAAGTGCGGCATCAACTACCAGCCACCGACGGTGGTGCCGGGTGGAGATCTGGCGAAGGTGCAGAGGGCGGTGTGCATGATTTCGAACAGCACGAGCGTTGCAGAGGTGTTCTCCCGGATCGACCATAAGTTCGATCTGATGTACGCGAAGCGCGCTTTCGTGCACTGGTATGTGGGCGAAGGTATGGAGGAGGGAGAGTTTTCGGAGGCTCGTGAGGATCTTGCGGCTCTGGAGAAGGATTACGAGGAAGTGGGTGCGGAGTCGGCTGAGGACGGCGGCGAAGACGACGGTGAAGAGTACTGAGGGGGGTGGCATCTGTAGGCTTTCGATGTCCATACATGGTGGACCAGAGTCAGTAAGCTGACCTGGATTTTGTACATGGAAGTAATGCTATAACGGGAAGACTTTTCTCAGTCTCAGATGTCAGTGCCGATTGTGGTCCGTGTTTGGGGACGTTTGTTG